TTTTTTTTTATTTTAGAGATATGTTTGTGAAACTGCCAAGTTATTTTTGCTAGAATTTTCTAAATTTTTTAATTATTTACACTTTTGCAAGAATTCCTCAAGTGAAAGTACACTGCAAGCAAACAAATACACAGATACTTTTTGTGATAATTTTTGGAAGAATATTTGCGCACTACAAACAGACTAAGGAAATATTATCCCTCCGTTGCTGAGCTATCAAGTTCTATTTTGATGTATGGTTGTTTATAACTTTTTTAATTTTTTCCGTAAAAATGACAAAAGACTGTCTCAATAGTGTTCGACGGCGTAGTTTGCATTTGAAAAACAGTCTTTCGCGATTTTTTTTATTTTTTATTAATTACTTTTTGTATTTCCTTGCGCTACGCGGCACTTTGTCTTCGTCGGTATTTCAGCCAGTGCACAATTAACGGGCTAACGGTACTTTTAAAAGCTTTATTTAGAAAATTCTACAATTTCTAAAACCAAAAGCACCGTTCGGCGTTTAACTGCGATTTCTATATACTTTTTATATATATGTCGGTATACTTTTTAGCTCTACTGTGTTTGGCTTATTTTATTAGGCGATTCCTTTCAACGTTTTTAACGTAACGTAACGACCGCAACGAACGACAAAGACAAACTGAATGGCAAATATGCCGCACTGTGGATGGCTACACCAGCAACGTTAGGCAGAAGGCAGCAGGATGACTGACAAAGAGACGCCGGAGCAAGCACTCGGGACGAAAGTCGCGTATTCGAAGATATTTTCGAGTTACACTTGCTCCTTGACTCACACCAGCGCTGCCGCAGCGACTGCTTTTTCGAAAATCAACGCTGATTTTGTTGTTATTGCCATCTTTATAGCTTTTGTTGTTGTTGTGCTTATAGCAGTTGTTGTTTTTGTGATTGCTATATTGGCGCCGCTGCAAGGACACTCACCCAAGCGAGTTCAGGCCAAACGCCAGCAACAACAGCACCGCCAAAAACAACAATCCAGTATGGCTACCCACACCCGAGTAAGAATTCGCATTCCGTATAATATAACAACAACAAAAGCAACTAGGAAGCATGCGTTTTCGCTGGCGCAGTAAATATTGAAAACTCGTATTAATTGTTAAAGACGGCATAAACGAGTCAGGGAGCACCTAGCGCATTAAACTAAAACCAGTTTCACTACAAATATATTAACTTCGAATAATTCTCTAAATAAAACGAAGTAATTTCAAACCAGATTTAAATTTTTTAATATAAATTTTTCTATATTTCACTTCCACAAAATCCACTATTTCACTCAGCACGTCCACAACTAACGCTCGAAAAACGTGTAAACACTTGCGTGTTTTCTTGCTTTGGAAAATTCCTTTAGGGGGAGGTTTACTGGCTGTGCTCACTCAGATGTTGGGCGCATCGAGTTCGAAACATTTAGCATGGAAGCATGCGCAATTCAGTCTTCGAATAGAATTGGTGGTGGTTTTGACTTGTTTCTTTTTGATCTACTCTTATGAATTTGTATGTACTCGCGTAGTTAAAAGGAGATTTTTGGTTTCATGCAAATATTGCATTAGTTATGCAAGTGAATTTTTGTTTTGCACACTAGAAAGCCGGTTTCAGGTTCGGTTTAGTTTGTTTGAGGGGAATTTTAGTAAATGCAATGTAAGTATATAATGAAACCTTATTTGGAGATTCTAGTTTTTGGAGATTTTTAAGAGGGTAAAAATATTTCGTAAATTAATTGGAGTAGCTCATAAGATAAGAGCTACCATAAATTTAAGTAGAATAATAATCCCATGAGTTGAAATATTTAAAAAGAAATTAATTTTTTTTTTTCATATTTTTTAACTTTTTTTTTAATTTTTTTTTTAATTTCTTATTTTTTAACTTTAAATTAAATTATTGTTTATCTCCTTTAATCCTTTTTTAAGGTGAAATTTTCATTTTCTAATTTGCAG